TAAAATGAATAGGACACAAGGTAGATAAATAAAAACACCGGAGAAGTGAATATTCCACTGACGTTTCGGGCATAGCCCTTTATCGAAGTGATTCAAGCATCAACAACAATATACAAAATCAAAAATATATAGGCGACGCTTGGTAGTCAAGATGCAAAGGCGCGTGAGAGTACGCGAAAGAAGAGAAAAAGAGATAGAGAACCGTCACAAAGCTCAAAAGTTGGACCATTGTGACGTGAGAAAATAGGAGAAAATACGTGCCTTCACGGTTGTTTCATCGCAAAGCATGCCGGGACATAATTTTAGTCCATTTTCACCTTCGCCGTGATCAGCTGTCCTGTTGCAAACAACGGGATTCTTATCGAATCAACATCATAATCTTGTACATAGTCCGCTATTCTGCAGTGATTTTCTTCCAATCCAGTATCATTTGTACGGTAAGAAAACCAAAGTTTGTGGTTATTCATTTTTATGACTAATAAAGCTGATAATACGACGTAATGAGAGTGGGCCGAGATCCAACTTAAGTAAATGTAGGCCTAGATCTAGTCCCGTATGTTCAAATGTGTGTGCATTTTAAGTAGACTAATTGTCTTTTAAGCTGCTTAAGTACACTCGTCTCGTGTTTTAGGTAGAAATGTACAGTAATATGAGATTTATGTCTCATGAAATATTAATAGACTTTCTAGATCCTATAATTGATAATGGAATAGGGTCTACTAGAATGGCCGACAGTTAGGCCTAGAAAGTGATTGCAATTAGAAATTATAAATGTAAGAAAGTAAAAGAGGCCATGAAAACGATAGATTTTTTCGATCGGATCTGAATATAATAGTCTGATATCAATGAGCTCTACTTGAGGATCTACATGACGGGGGCGTACGGAGGATTTTTTCGAGGGGGGGGGGGGCCGGGGGGTAAAATTTGAAAATCACGCAGTCAATTTCACAACGACTCGACCAGCCGGTGAATAAAGGCGTGAATTATGCTAGAATGCACGGTGGAGAAGTCAGAGAAGCAGGGGACTACTGTGCTATAAAGTCACCGTTAGGGTGGGTTGTGTATGGTGAAACACCCCAGTAGGATACATACAACAAGGAAGTATTGCATGTAAAGCTAGCTACTCCTGTAGATCTCACTGACTTTTGGACGATAGAGACAGAGGGTGTCGATGCAAAGCAATGTCGGTGTGATAATAGTGGTCTCACTAAGCAAGAAGCTTTGAAGGAAGAGATAATCCGTTTCTCAGCAAGGAAAGAAGGAAGGCAGTGGGAGATAGCATATCCGTGGGAGAAAGATCCGGATCTCTTACCCAATAACAAGTTCTTAGCAGAAAAGATGCTCTTTGCTGCAGAAAGAAAACTCAGAAAGAATCCAGAGCATACAGAAGCCTACAAATCTAAGATACAAGAGATGACTGAGGTGGGATTTGCTAAGAAGCTAGAGAAAGATGAAATGACAACCTACAAAGGACCGGTACATTCCATCAGTCACCACGCAGTAATCAGGCCAGACAACAAAAGCACACCTCTGAGAATTGTATTCAATTCATCTGCAATCTAAAAAGGTCACTGCTTGAATGAGTACTGGAAGAAAGGGCCTGACTTACTCAACAACTTATCTGGAGTCCTCCTCAGATTCAGAGAACACCCAGTGGCAATATGTGCAGATATTAGCAAGATGTATCACCGCATATTGATTCCCGAAAGAGATCAGCATGTACACAGATTTCTGTGGAGAGACATGAACCAGGAGAAAGAACCAGATGTGTATATGATGAAGGTGGTGACGTTTGGAGACAAGCCAGCTGCAGCAATGGCGCAGATAGGTGTAAGACTGACGGCGGAGGAAGGTGAAGCCAAGTACCCAGAAGCAGCTGCAATCCTGAAAAGAAACATCTACATGGATGACATCTGCGATTCAGTAGAGACTGAAGATACAGCAAAGAAACGTATCGCAGAGGTAGATGAACTGTTAGAGGCAGGAAGGTTCAAGGTTAAAGGTTGGCAATCAAACAAGCCACATGATGGAGGCAACAAGCAGGAAAAGATGAAACTCTTAGAGGAGATTGCTGAAGAGAAGGTGCTTGGTGTAGTTTGGGACAGACATAGTGGTACCTTCTCATACAAGGTCAATCTACAAGAAACAGATAGAGAGACAGAAAAGTTGACTTAGAGAAAGATCTTGGGAAAGGTAGCAAGAATCTATGATCCTATTGGTTTTGCTGCACCAATTATCATCAAGGCAAAGACTGGCATCCAGAAGCTGTGGCAGGGTGGTTATGACTGGGATGAGGAGTTACCTGACGGAGATGAATGGAGAGGACTATTCAGAGAAATGAGTAAGCTCAATGACATCAGTCTTGAGAGATGTCTGAAACCACAGAATGCCAGGGGGAAACCAGTCTTATGTATTTTCTGTGACGCTTCTGAGATTGCATATGGTGCATGCGCTTATCTGAGGTGGAAGACAGATGATGACAAGTATGAAGTGCGCTTCGTAACAGCCAAGTCGAAGGTCGCACCTCTCAAAGCTCTCACAATTCCTCGACTTGAACCGCTGGCAGGGGTACTAGCAGCTAGAATGCACGAAGCAATCAGCAAAGAGATGAGGCTACAAGTGGAGAAGGTTGTTTTCTTCCCTGATAGTATGATTGTGCTCCAGTGGATAAAGTCTTCTGCCAGAACATACAAGGCATTTGTATCAAGCAGAGTAGGTGAAATCCAGACCCTAACAGACCCGGCAGACTGGAAACACATCCCTGGTGAAGTCAATGTAGCTGATAAGGTGTCATGAGGTCTATCTGTAGAAAGGCTGTCAGAAGAGTGGAAGGGTGGGCCCATCTTTCTGCTCTCTGACGAGTCAGAATGGCCTACAGACAAGGCAGTAGTGAATTGCAAAGGTGCCAGAAGTGAGGAAAAGACAAAGTCCCAGTCAGTCTTCGTAACAGCAGAGACATCGGAAGTGATATATTGTAAGAGAACTTTGAGTTGGAGAAAGCTCCTGAGAACGACCGCATATGTATTAAGATTTATCCAAATCCTGAAGGCTAAGATACAGAAAGGACCCCAACCAGATGACAAAATTACTCTAAGCCCGACAGAGTTAGATAGTGCAGAGAAGTACTGGGTAAAGAGAGCACAGACGGAGAATAACTGGACCTGTTTAATTAAACACGTTTTGGAGATGGGGAGTGCACTAAATGATTTCTTAATGTTACCCTGCACCAAAAACTAAACCTAACCCTTCCACTAAACCAATGATTAGTTAATCTATTTCTAGCTCGTATCGAAATTGTATATATTTGACCAAGTAAAGCCAAGAGCATTTGTCACCAGCTAGAGCATAGCCATCTAACCGTATATGTACATTGGCGCACCAAGTTAGACTTGCAGTCATTCAATTTAGACATGTACTCTGGTAATTTACTTGTATGAATCACTGTTTGTACACATGTAGGTCCAAACTGTCAGGCTTGCGAATGTTAGGTGTCCAACATCAACCTCTTCACATCACCTTGTAGAAGCTGTGTGTTCCATGCCAAACCTGACTGAACTGACACTAACTGGAAATGATTTCCGGGAAGAGTTCTATTCTACACTGAATGCAAAGGCATCAACCTTACGGGTATGTTTGTGTGCACTCTATAACCATGCCATGATGAAAACATTTTCACATATAGCAATGGAGATGAGTTTAAGGATTTATGATATACGAGCTACCATCAACATTTTTTGATACATATATATATATATATATATAATGTTTTATAAGAAAATATATCATAGTTTTAGCAGACGAAGGAACACCATTATTAAGAGGGTATTCCATGTGCAGTGTATGATACAGAATTCATATAGCTTGAGTTGAGAATAGCCATAACCGTACATGTATTTTAGAGCACCTAGTTATACTTGCAGCCATTCAATCAAACATTCACTATGGTAATTTACTAGTAACTGGAACTGGTGGGGGAGAGAGGGAGTTGACTGAGGGGTATCAGCATGAAGTTTTGTTGAAATATTGACTTCAACATAGCTTTTTGTATGTGTGTGTGTTTTTTTGGCGGAGGGCACAAGGACGCTAAATCTATATACTAGACAGAGAGAGAGTACTGACCTGGTATGTACATGTATGGTACCGTATGTTAGCCAGACAGGAATGGAGAAAAATTACATGAATCACTATCACTAATCTTGCTCCCTTTTTTTTCAGGGTTCTTTTCCTCAAATCAGCAACGGAAAGTTCAGGTTCAATGGAGTTTTCCTAGCGAATTTTGATTCATTCCTGCAGATGCTCAAGGACTACTGAATGTAAGTGAACTAAACTTAATGGATCAAAAATTAATTTTATTACTATACAACTCACTTGTAAATCCAAATCAAATGATTGGCCGATTGCAGTCTGGTGTGATTCACTTGCTGAGACTATCACATGTTTTTCCATGAAAAAGCATGCAAGAGTTCCAGGGCTTTTTAATGATATTTTAGTACTTGATGTGCAGCAGTGCATGTAGAGTTTAATATGCTTTATATTTTGTGTGTAGATCATTATATGTATATCACTGACACACTGTGCATTGATGCTTGTAGAGGTTAGTGCGCCTAAATCTTTGTGCACGCTGAATTATCCCATCAACCCTATTATAGCCTGGGCTATTTTGCAACTGCATAGCAGGGGGGGGGGGGCTTCTAAGACCCCCCCCCCTGTTACACCCACAAATGTAATAACGCCCACAAATGTAATATCACTCACCAGTCATAACCACCCTGCCACAGCTTCTGCATGCCAGTCTTTGCCTTGATGATAATTGGTGCAGCAAAACCAATAGGATCATAGATTCTTGCTACCTTTCCCAAGATCTTTCTCTAAGTCAACTTTTCTGTCTCTCTATCTGTTTCTTGTAGATTGACCTTGTATGAGAAGGTATCACTATGTCTGTCCCAAACTACACCAAGCACCTTCTCTTCAGCAATCTCCTCTAAGAGTTTCATCTTTTCCTACTTGTTGCCTCCATCAAGTGGCTTGTTTGATTGCCAACCTTTAACCTTGAACCCTCCTGCCTCTAACAGTTCATCTACCTCTGTGATACGTTTCTTTGCTGTATCTTCAGTCTCTACTGAATCGCAGATGTCATCCATGTCGATGTTTCTTTTCAGGATTGCAGCTGCTTCTGGGTACTTGGCTTCACCTGTATGGCTGGCTCAAACACCCAGTAATTACCCCGAAGAAACTCAGTCTGCGCAAATTGGATTTGACTTCTGGTGTGCTTTATTCTTGAGAAGTCGTAGTAACAATTCAATTTCTTTTGCAGGAACTCTGGTTTAACGGGAAAACATTCCTTGTAACAGGCACATTGCATCTTAAGCCAATTTCTGATGGCAAATAGAAATACATGGGGTTTCTACACTGACAACTGTACCGTACGTTGTTATTCTGACACACACTAAATACACGCTAACATTAATGGTCGTGTCTTCAAAAATACAAGGAAAACATTAAGTATGGTATCTTACAAGTACATCTCAATGAAGCGAACTTATATTAAACATGATACTTGTAACTGATGATAATGCATGAAAAAAGTATAGTTTATGTTCATTCAACGAAACATCTGGAGCCCGATAAGGGACCTGTATGGTTGGCTCAAACACCCAGCAATTACCCCGAAGAAACTCAGTCTGCGCAAATTGGATTTGACTTCTGGTGTGCTTTATTCTTGAGAAGTCGTAGTAACAATTCAATTTCTTTTGCAGGGACTCTGGTTTAACGGGAAAACATTCCTTGTAACAGGCACATTGCATCTTAAGCCAATTTCCGATGGCAAATAGAAATACATAAGGGTTTCTACACTGACAACTGTACCCGTACGTTGTTATTCTGACACACACTAAATACACGCTAACATTAATGGTGGTGTCCTCAAAAATACAAGGAAAACATTAAGTATGGTATCTTACAAGTACATCTCAATGAAGCGAACTTATATTAGACATGATACTTGTAACTGATGATAATGCATGACAAAAGTATAGTTCATGTTCATTCAACGAAACATCCTCCCACCCCATAAAAACCAAGACCAGGTCAGTAATCTCTGGTATATAGATTTTGTGTCCTTGTGTCCTCCGCCAAACAAACACACACACATACAATAAGCTTTGTTGAAGTCAATATTTCAACAAAACTTTATTCTGATACCCCTCAGCCACCTCCCTCCCTCCCCCACAAGTTCCAGTTACAAGTAAATTACCATAATAAATGTTTTAATTGAATGGCTGCAAGTATATATACCTAGGTGCTCTAATATACATGTACAGTATGGATATGCTCTGGTGACAAATGCTCTGGGCTCCACTTACCGTAGTCAAATAGATTTGGATATGAGCTGCAAATAGGTTAATTGACAATAGTTTAAGTGTTAGGGTTAGGTCTAGTTTTTGGTGCCTAGTAACATCAAGAAATCAGTTAGTGCACTCCCCGTTTCCAAAAATGTGTATAATTAAACAGGTCCATTTACTCTCATAAGACCCTCTCTATAATACTGTTCCTTTGTCTGCTAAAATATAAAATGTTTTATATATATATTTTTAAAAAATTGATGGTAGTTGGTATATCATAAATCCTTAAACTCATCTCCATTGCTATATGTGTTCATGTTTTCATCATGGCATGGATATAGAGTACAAACATACAACTATACCTGTATGGATGACGCTTTTGCATTCAGTGTAGAATAGAACTCTTCCCGAAAATCCTTTCCAGTAAGTGTCAGTTGAGTCAGGTTTGGCATGGAACACACAGTTTCTGCTAGGTGATGTGAAGAGGCTGATGCTAGACACCTAACATTCGCAAGCCTGACAGTTTGGACCTACATGTATACAAACAGTGATTCATAAAAGTACATTACCAGAGGACATGTCTAAATTGAATGACTGCAAGTCTAACTTGGTGCTCCAATATACATGTACGGTTAAATGGCTATGCTCTGGTGACAAATGCCCATGGTTTCACTTGGTCAAATATATACAATTTCGATATGAGCTGGAAATAAGTTAACAGTGCATAGGTTTAATGTTAGAGCAAGGTCTAGTTTTTGGTGCAGGGTAACATTAAGAAATCAGTTAATGCACCCCCCATCTCCAAAACGTGTTTAATTAAACAGGTCAAGCTATTCTCCATTAAAAATCAAAAAAAATTATCTGAACCTTCAAAGGTGAGTTTTTGTGCAGAACATATTTTCAACTCAAGCTATATGAATTCTGTATCATACACTGCACATGAAAGACCCTGTTAATAATAATGTTCCTTTGTCCGCTAAAACTATGATATATTTTCATATAAAACATTTATATGTATATATATCAAAAAAGGTTGATGGTAGCTCGTATATCATAAATCCTTAAACTCGTCTCCATTGCTATATGTGTACATGTTTTCATCATGGCATGGTTATAGAGTACACACATACATACCTGTAAGGTTGATGCCTTTGCATGCAGTGTAGAATAGAACTCTTCCCGAAAATCCTTTCCCCATAGTGTCAGTTCAGTCAGGTTTGGCATGGAACACACAGCTTCTACAAGGTGATGTGAAGAGGTTGATGTTGGACACCTAACATTCGCAAGCCTGACAGTTTGGACCTACATGTTTACAAACAGTGATTCATACAAGTAAATTACCAGAGTACATGTCTAAATTGAATGACTACAAGTCTAACTTGGTGCGCCAATGTACATATACGGTTAGATGGCTATGCTCTAGCTGGTGACAAATGCTCTTGCCTTTACTTGGTCAAATATATACAATTTCGATATGAGCTGGAAATAGGTTAACTAAGCATTGGTTTAGTGGAAGGGTTAGGTCTAGTTTTTGGTGCAGGGTAACATTAAGAAATCAGTTAGTGCACTCCCCATCTCCAAAACGTGTTTAATTAAACAAGTCCAGTTATTCTCCATCAAAAACCAAAAAATTATCTGAACCTTCAAAGGTGAGTTTTTGTGCAGAACATCATATTTTCAACTCAAGCTATATGAATTATGTATCATACACTGCACATGGAAGACCGTCTTAATAATAGTGTTCCTTTGTCCGCTAAAACTATGATATATTTTCATATAAAACATTAAATATATATAGATATATCCAAAAATGTTGATGGTAGCTCGTATATCACAAATCTTTAAACTCATCTGCATTGCTATATGTGTACATGTTTTCATCATGGCATGGATATAGAGTACAAACTTATATACATACCCGTAATGTTGATGCCTTTGCATTCAGCGTAGAATAGAACTCTTCCCGAAAATCCTTTCCACTTAGTGTCAGTTGAGTCAGGTTTGGCATGGAACACACAGCTTCTACAAGGTGATGTGAAGAGGCTGATGCTGGACACCTAACACACACAAGCCTGACAGTTTTGACCTACATGTGTACAAACAGTGATTCATACAAATTCATTACCAAAGTATGTGTCTAAATTGAATGACTGCAAGTATAATTTGGTGCTCCAATATAAATGTACGATTATATGGCTATGCTCTGGTGACAAATGCTCTTGGCTTCACTTAGTCAAATAAATGAAATTTCGATATGAGCTGCAAATAGGTTAATTGGGCATTGGTTTAGTGTTAGGGTTAGGTCTAGTTGTTGGTGCAGGGTAACATTAAGAAATCAGTTAGTGCACTCCCCATCTCCAAAACGTGTTTAATTAAACAGGTCCAGTTATTATCCATCAAAAACCAAGAAAACTCTAATCTGAACCTCCGATGGTGCATTTTTGTGCAGAACATCACATTTTTCAACTTCAGCTATATGAATTCTGTACTATACACTGCACATGAAAGACCCTCTTTATAGTACTGTTCCTTTGTCTGCTAAGATTAATATATATTTTATATAAAACATTATACATAACACAAAATGTTGATGGTAGCTCATATATCAAAAATCTCTATTGCTATAAGTGTACATATTTTCAACATGGCATGTTTGTAGAGTACAAACATACATACCTGTAAGGTTGACGCCTTTGCATTCAGTGTAGAATAGAAATCCTCATGGAAATCATTTCCAATTAGTCTCAGTTCAGTCAGGTTTGGCATGGAACACACAGCTTTTACAAGGTGATTTGAAGAGGCTGATGCTGGACACCTAACACTCACAAGCATGACAGTTTGGACCTACATGTATACAAACAGTGATTCATACAAATTCATTACCAGAGTACATGTCTAAATTGAATGACTGCAAGTATAACTTGGTGGTCAATATACATGTACGATTATATGGCTATGCTCTGGTGACAAATGTTCTGGGCTTCACTTAGTAAAATATATAGAATTTGGAAATGAGCTGCAAATAGGATTAGGCTTAGTTTTTTAAGGTGAGGTCTTGTTTTTGGTGCAGGGTTACATTATGAAATCAGTTAGGTCACTCCCCACCCCCGAAACGTGTTTAATTAAACACATCCAATTAGTCTCCATCAAAAATCAAAATACCTTATCTGAACATACCAAGTGTGTTTTTTTCTCGCAGAACATCATATTTTCAACTAAAGCTATATGAATTCTGTATCATACACTGCACATGAAAGATCCTCTCTATAATAACGTTTCTTTGTCTGCTAAAACTATGATATTTATATAATATAAAACATTATATATAAAACAAATGTCGACGGTAGCTCATACATCATAAATCCTTAACTCTTCTCCATTGCTATATATGTGTACCTGTTTTCATCATGGCATGGATATAGAGTACAAACATATATACATACCTGTAAGGTTGATGCCTTTGCATTCAGCGTAGAATAGAACTCTTCCCGGAAATCCTTTCCCCATAGTGTCAGTTCAGTCAGGTTTGGCATGGAACACACAGCTTCTACAAGGTGATGTGAAGAGGCTGATGCTGGACACCTAACATCCGCAAGCATGACAGTTTGGACCTACATGTATACAAACAGTGATTCATACAAGTACATTACCAGAGTACATGTTTTTATTGAATGACTGCAAATGTAACTTGGTGCTCCAATATACATGTGTTTGTATGGCTATATGCTCAGGTGACAATTGCAATGGGTTATATTTAAATAAATAACATACAATTTGGATAAGGACTGCAAATAGGTTTGAGCTTAGTTTTAGTGATAGGTATACTTTTTGGTGCAGGGCTAGAGTTAAGAATTTGTAAAGTACAGGATAGTAAGCACAGAAAAAATGTTGACAGAGCATGTGTCGAACAACAGGAGGAATGACAATTACAGCTGTAGTGCTTTTAATTACTACATGTATATATCTACATAGTGATGCATTCAATGAATACATCCTACCAGGAACCCATTTACTACACCTAGGTCGAGTGTTGCAAATGTATGTTTATGTTTTGCCAAACATATGTAATGAAGTACATAAATATCTCGGGGCTGTTATTACCAAGAACCTTACTTCTTCAGACATTCATGAATATCTCTCTAGCAAAATAGAAAGATGTTTGAAGAATATTGATACCTCTCTCGTTCGTAATGAGTACAAACTAAAGGTATATTCACGTTACTTATTGCCATCATTGAGATTTGACCTGACAGTGAATGATATGACATATACTCATTGTAAATCGTTAGATATGCTTTCAAATCGCTTTGTAAAGAAATGATGTGGTCTAGCACGACCAGGAACCTTAGCATTCGTTCATATGCCAAATGGATTAGACATCCCGTCCATTTCCGATTTGTACAACCAATGCCATACTCTTTCGTACATATCCATGAGGGTGAACGGGAACGATTTGGTGAACCATTGTTTAGACTCTCATTTGCAACGTGAGACGAAATGGGTGAGGAAAAAATCCACGATTGTAAAAAGTAATGAGGTTTACTCATCTGTTGAAGGGCATCCAACACTCAAAGAAAAGAAAATAGAGGCAAAAAAAATCCTAACTCACGAAGTCTCTACTATTTGGCATACACATGAATAAAGAGTTAGTAGTTCAAGGAAAATTTCTAGATCTTCTATCGCTAGAAAGTAACTGTACGATCTGGAAGAGCATCATGTATAATTTGCCAGTGAAAGTCCTTAAATTTCTCGTAAATGCTGTTACCGATACTGTAAACACAAGGGCAAATTTACTGAGATGGGGCAAATCTGCAACAAACAAATGCAGGCACTGCGATTGTGTTGAGACACTGAACCATGTTCTTAATTGCTGTTCACTATTTCTATTTCAAGGGCGATACACCTGGCGCCATAACAATGTACTAAAATGCTTTGTAGAATTCATCACAGAAAGCACTTCGCCCGATGCAAAAATCCTTCATGATATTCCCTATTTAATCGGCTACTCCCCTGTCTCAACAATCCCATTGTCTTGTACCCAAACAAACCTGAGACCTGACCTTTGTATCTACGATGAAAAAAGTAAAAAAAATCATGATCATGGAACTGACAATCCAATTTGAACTTAGAATCGATAAGGCCCATCAATATAAATTTGATAAATACTCGTCCCTCGTCAGAGACATTGAAGATAATGGCTATGAGGTAGAACTTTTGGCAATTGTAGTCGGTTCTCGTGGGTTCATTTCATCAAACAATACCAAGAGACTAACAAAGATGATGGGCTTCTTGCATAAACGGAACACAAAGCAATTTCGGGACAAACTCAGTAAAATGACCCTTGTTTCGTCCTTTGCAATTTATTGCGCAAAGGCCGAACCCTCATGGCAAGACTGTAACAATCTGTAATAACTGGATACTAAAGGATAATAATGAATAATATTAATAATAATATTAATAATAATAATAACGATATTATTTAAAATGGTAATAATAGTAATAATAATAATAATAATGACAACAATGATAATAATAAAAATAAACACAATAATAATGATAATGATAATTAAAATGACGATGATAATGATGATAATAATAATGATAATAATTATAATAACAATGATAATAATAAAGCTAATAATAATTATAATAATAACAAAAGTAAAAGTGCTTATAAGTAATAAAGAGGGCTATCGTGGTGCAACCATGGGCTGAATGCATGCCACTGAACATGTTATATTTTGTTGCATCACGTGAGCCCTCTATTCCTCCAAAACGATTAAGCATTTGTATACATTATTTGAGTAAAGTGAATTATAAATTGTGTATTTTTCTTAATCTGAAACGAAACAATTTGGCATGAACACAACTACTGTTAAAGATCTCGGCGATCATGTTTTATAACATCTTTATGTCTTATATGTGTGTTATTGTATGCCCTGCTTTGGCAGTTATGAGCCATGACCTGGACTACTCTTATTATATGTCTGTGACTGTGCAATTCTTTTATGTTTATACCATGTTCCTTTATTGAAGATTGATAATAAAGTGATACAAAATCAAATACGTACAGCAGGGTTTCAAACCCTATACCCCGTGTTTTACTGTCCAGATACTTAAGCAGGGCTCCCAATTAGCTGAGTTGGAGCTCTGAGTTGTGGCGAGCTGGTGCAAACTTGAACTCGCGTAAACTCGCGTGAACTTGCTTGATATTTGCATGAGTGATCTACGACGCAACATCGAGTTTCTTACGATGGATGTATGAGTGAACCGAGCGCATTACGAGTCACGCGAGCTCGGTATGAGCTGCGATGACCTGTGTACGACTCGTACCCATCTACCAACGAGTTATCAAGATCTTCTAACGAATGATTAGAGCTACGAATTGCATCATTTTGCCCAGGGGCGGCCGAACGACTTCCATAGCGGAGGGGAGGGGACAACAAAAAAGGGCGCTTTCTGGAAAAAAGGGCACTTTCAAAGGGAAATCTCAAATCTCAAATATAATTGTTGTTTTACGTTTGGTATATACCCCTATATTGTGATTACATTATCAGGGAATGTTTCAATATTTGTTTCACTTTGTACACAGTACAAGGTATTGATTAAGCATCATACTTCCCAGTTGGGTGTGATGGAAAATTTGCGAGCGAGAAATATTTTAATGAAATGAATGAAACAGGGGGCACTTACACTAAAAGAATATGTGCATTAGTTGAAAGAAAAGGGGTACCGACCAGGTTTTAATATTTATCGGAAGTGAAGGGGGCACTTATCGGTGCTCCATGGAAGAACAGAACCATTAGGTTAATGGACTATCTTACCGTTGTACCCTTTTATTATAGTTATATAAGTCTTTGATTTTGTTATATTGTGTTATTGTTTTTATGATGATTTTCGGAAATAAAACAAACAAAACTTATCTGAAGGGAAAAGGACTAACTTCTCGTAACTGGAAAGGGTCATTTACCAGAGATGAAAAGGGGCATTTATGAGAAGGGGAAGGGGCTATTTATAAAAAAAAGGGAGTACTTATCATTAGAAAGAGGGGCACTTAATAGAAAGGAAATGGGGCACTTGTCAAAGTAAAAGAAGCACCTCTCAAATCGAAATAGGGTAGATTATCAGAGGTAAAGGGGGCACTTCTCGTTCCTGAAAAGGGGCACTGATGATAATTGAAATGTACACTTATTGCAAAGGAAAATAGGAACTTGTCGAAGGAAAAGGGGCACTAGTCAAAATAAAAGGGGTACTTATGCCAAGGAGGGACAATATGTAAAGGATATTGGATTTGGGAACATAGTCTACCTTGAGATTTGTGAAAGAAAAGGGGCACTTGTCAAAGGAATGCCATAATTGTAGTTTTTTTTATATCATTTTTCTAAGCATTAATACAAATACTTGCAATACTGAACTTCAACAATGTTATGACAAAAATATTTTCATTTCTATTTTTATATTCGTATATTGTCTTAATGACTCTTTAAAAGTACATGTATGCATTTCATATTTTTTAATGTACGAGTACTTTTACATCTTCCTATCTTACTTCTATTCTTCATGTTTCTCCTCTCCGTTTTCAAATTTGTGCTGCCCAAGCAATCTTAATATATTAAATTTGTCATATTTCAATATTGAAAAATTGATTGTAACTTTATTTTATGTTTGAAATACGTAATAAGTCTTTTAATTGTACATATGACCATTTCAGCTATGGGGCTGCGACTCATGTTTTTAATAAACCTTGAATTGAAATTATGAGAGGTGAAAAGGTAAAGGGGCAATTTACAAATTCATAGGGGCACTTGTCAAAGTAATTTTCCTATGTAAAAAGGGGCTCTTTTTACAAATTTAAAAGGGCACTTTTCCTATGTAAAAAGGGGTACATTTCGGGTAGTTGAAAAAGTAGGGGCACTGTCCCCCCCCCCCCACCTGCCACTGGGTAAGGGCCGCATCTGATTTTGGCGCTCTCAAAAACAAAGATTGATGTCAGAAGCATATTTGCTAGATCTGCTGGAGGAAGAACATGCCTTGATCTTCTGCACAATTATTGTAGGCCAGCTGACGTATCATGGTGCGCTTGTCATGCTCGTAATGCACGCCCTACACTCTGGTCATGCTCATAAAAAAACTCGCCGTAAGTCCCCGTACTTGATCTAAAATTGCGTAAATCTCGTGGGAAACTCGGCATGACTCGTAGCACGATCGTTGTGCGTACTCCACTTTTATAAACTCTAATAGCACTCGCGTATACTTGAAGGTGACGAGTTGATACAAGTTATGTATACTGCAGTGCGAGCTTGTTACGAGTAATGCGAGTATATTACAAGTGTGGTAAGCGAGTTCATCTCGAGTAACAACGAGTCAGTAAAAATGTTGAACTGCTCGCGACTTTGAGGAGAGTCGTGGAATGTAGTAAAGAGTTACGCCGAGCCATACCGAGTTGTCGCGAGTTATCCCGAGTTACGAGAAAAGCTTTTCGCGAGTTCATGCGAGTGCCTCTTGAGGCAACTCACCACAACTCGCCATAACTCGCTAATAAAACTCGGCTAAGTGGAAGCCCTGCTTTATCCACTGGACCACTAAGGCCTCTACACGAACCACGAACCAT